AGGGGTTTGGGGGGTTTGGGTTTTTGGGGGGGTGGGTGATAAGGATTTTGGGGGTTTTTGGGTGGGTGGGTGATAAGGATTTGGGGTTTTTGGGTGCGCAAAGAAAAAAACGAGGGTGTCGAAAGGGTGGGCTGGGCTGGGCTGGGGTGTGGGTGCGCAAGGCTGGGTGTTGGTATTTTTGAATTTTGAATTATTTTGAATTATTTCAACACGCAGCCGAGGTTGTTCTGGGGAGGCCGTTGTTTGACATGGAAGATGATGAACCAATCGCTACATTCCTGGACCGCGTGAGGAGGTATTGTAAATGTAAACTTACTATTTTAGGTTCCTTGTACAATATATTGAAGAAATTAATATTAAATTTCATTTTTACTCATTACTTTCAGTATTGTGCATCCGGAGGGGGATTTGAACCCCGGACCACTGCATGGAAGGCTATTAGACGTGCCTCACCGATTCAATGAATTGGGGGCCAATCTGATACAGGTAATTATAGTTATACATATATTATATATATATATTTTAAATTATAGGCAACTCCATAATGCATTTGAGTTTTTGTTTTTTCTCAGAGCCTTTTGGTGTATGAACCTCGGGGGAGGTTGACAGTTCAGGATGCCATTGGACACCCTTATTTCTCCGATTTCGATCCAGATATGCTGTGTGAGTACAACAATGCCTCAGACAAATAGCTATGGGAAGAACATTTTATAGTTTGGGTTTATAACATTTGAGACCATTATATTGTTGGATGTAACTTTTGATTGTGGATGTAAACATTTTCTAAGCTTCAGGCTCAGAGAGCTTTGCAAAGTGTATAGCTTTCCAGTAATGAGTAAAAGCCAAATGTAAGTTTGGGCTGAAAGTCAATTGTAAAGTGTATAGCTTCACAGTAGTGAGTAAAAGCCAAATGTTCAAAATCTTTTGTGGGATATGGACATGGCTTTTTCGTCATTAGCTATGGAAATCTTAGTAACTGATCAGTGAAGTGATATGTAGTCTTCATAAGTTTGTGGTTTTGACTTCTGAGTTTGTTTGGTAGTTGTGGACATCATTTGAAGTTAATGTTGTTTGTACTGCGCGTGCAAGTGAGAGGGAGGGAGGGAGGGAGGGAGGGAGGGAGCTGGTGGGGTGACTTGCAAAGCATTCTTTCAGCATCAAGTTGTAAATCAACCAGCAAGAAAATCGCAGGGGACTGCTATTTTGACAGAAGATGATCTGCAGACTCGCTAGATTCTTACTTGAAAAACTAGTACCACACACTTTTTCCTACTTTTAAGAGTATACACCATAAAACATAAGTTGAGAGCAGAGAGAGACCCATATATTTTTTCTCGGCCAGCCATATGCAGAAAAAACAAGCAATAACAAAGAATACATCACTCATTTGTAGAGTAGATTCCACTAGAAGAGTTGCATTGGTCATTTACAGAGCCGAACACTCTAAACTCCCAATAGAAAATCTTCAGAACTATTGCCTCCAAAATTTTTCAACAATTGTGATGCACAACTTATGAGGCTGATGGCCAAGTACAAAACGATAGGTGAGTATCTAGTGTTGTAAGTCATGACTAAGGACAAGCTTGAGCCGACGGTCTTTTCCTATGATTTTCTGAATGAATAGCTTGAGCCAATGGTTACCTCTTGGTATTTTAATCAGGATGAATAGTTTTCATCAGGGCCCCAATCCATTCACCAACTGCGAATCTGTGATGTGGGCGTGCATTTGGCCGCGGTGGGTTCTGTGATGTGATGCCGATGATGGCGTTTTCGGGGCAATGGAGCGCGTGGTGGTAGATGAGTGCATCCCAATTCCCATACGTGTGCAGTAAATGCAATGCAAATAGGTAGCAAAACTAATGATTTGGGTATGTAATTATTGGTTTCAATTTTTTATGTTTTGGAATGCTCAATTTTTGCTTTGGGAAACAAAAAATGGCTGGGAGGGGACGTCGTAATGGGATTGAATTATACAAGGGGAGTGCTAGCAACCTTCTCTCCAACTTTTTCTTTTGGACCTTTTCTCTTCTTCTTATGACAAGTGTCAATTTCTTTACACTTAAAACAATGTCATTAATACATCATACAAACTATTTTTTGTTTTCCAAGTTTACCCTTATTAAATGTATTATTATTATTTTAATAACAAGCTAATTTTTTTTTACAACTTTCTTACCACCTTGTTAAAAAAATAAAATAAGAAAATAAAAACTAATTTTTTTTTTTTTTGCAAAGAGAACGTGTGTTTTGTTAAAAACAAAATAAAGATGATAACAACATCTTGAAACAAACTTTATTTTTAAAGAAAAAAAAATGACGTTTTTTTAATTATATAAAATTATTATTTAATTTTTAATAATGTGCTAAAGAAGTGAAACAAAATTTGAATAAATTGAAGGAAATATAAAAGCTAATATATTTTAAAAGGGTAAACTTGGAAAACAAAAACTAACTTGTGTGATGCATTAATGACATTGTTTTAAGTGTAAGGAAAATGACACTTGTCATGAGAAGAAGGGAGAAGGTCCAAAAGAGAAGGTTAGAGAGAAGGTTGCTAGCATTCCTCATTATACAATTATGCATTTTTTGTTGCATTTTGGTCCTTCTAATTCAAAAGTTAGCCTTTTATGTACCCATCTTAACGGTTTTTTGGATTATTGAAGCTGAAAGTAGCTGAATTTTTAGAATTCAAATTGCTTATATGTTTTTGAGAGTTTAAATTTAGATTCTTTTGGTGGTTTACTGTGTTTATATACTGTTAATTTGGAGATGGCTACTGGGAGTAACATAGATATGCTATCAACCCTAGATAATAATCGGCAAAGACCCAATGGGAATTTAGAAGATGCTTTACAGAGTGAGCTTGAACTGATTTTAAGAGAGCAGCGAAATCAGCATGCCATTCATTGGGAAAGGGATCTGAATATATATATATATAGGAGTGGCAGCGAACTCTGATTTTAGGGATGTCACTAGTAGGATTAGTAATAACAATGGGGTTTTGTCTGAGGATGAGATTCCATCGCATCCTGCTTATCTTTGGTACTACTATTCACATGATAATATTAACCCAAGATTGCCTCCACCATTGTTGTCGAGAGAGGGATGGCGTATTGCTCAAAGGTTTCAGGTCGGTGGGTCTTGTTTTGAGGGCATTTAGGGTTTAGGGGACTGGCGGAAGAAGAAATTGGTAGATGACGGTGATAGTTTGTCGCTGTTTTCAACGCAGCTGGGGCTTTCCGTACAAAATGCAGAGAATGATTTGATGGAGTTGAGGAATGGCAATGGAAGCAATCTCCTTAAACAGACTTCATCTAAGTGGCTTGATAGAGGCTCAGATGGTTTAATTGGTTTGTCGACAAGTGGGCTTGGTGCAAGGAGGAAGAGTTTTGCTGACATTTTACAGGTAATCAGCAGTATAGTCAAGACTTCACTCTGTAGCATTTATGTGGTTCTTGGTTAGACTTTGATTGTATGGTTTTCTTTCTGGATTTTGTTTGCATGCCCTTTAACAGCTAATATTGGTATTCATTTATTTCTCACAATTTGTATACTAGGGCTTCTTCTTCTTGTTGATCACTGTCCCCTTTTGATTAGTATTGCTCATGTGGGGAGGACTAGATGTCAGTTTGAAGTTTGCATACAGTTTATGCATACTTTCATTTTAGATTTGATATTTATTGCATACTACACGTGATCACACATTTCCATAAGTCCTGGGACACCCGTATGGGGATAAAGAGCAAGGATGTAGCCAAGAGCATGATCCTACTCTTTAGAATCACTGTTGCAACTATCTGAACTGACTTCTGTTGGAAGTGCTAGCTTTTATATTGTATGCACATGACATAACAAATGCATCACGTTGTGCAAAGTTCTCATTTCTTTTTGCTTTTTCCTCTTCCTTTCTGGATATCAAGAAAGTGCAGATGTTTATTAGTTCTTCCTGGTTCTTATGCAGAAATTTTCATCATCCTTGTTAAGCATGCTTGTGTCTTGTATGACCCTCATTTTGACTGATGACTATGTGCTGTTATGCTCTCTCCTATGATATGGAAAAGACACTTTGGTGGATGGAAGAAAACAAAGAGCCAATCATTTTGTTTAAGAATTGTTTAAGCTTGGTATGAGATGAAGCATACTGGGAAAATAAGTTATTATGCTCTAAATTTTACCATAGGCCTTGGAACTGAATGCTCATGTACTCATCATCAACTGCATAAAACCAAAAAGGCCTAGCTGTATAGCCGTGCGGCTATACTATTTATAAAAAAACTTAAATTGAAAATATTAATAATAATAAAAACCAATCATTTGGGCCTTGTGCAAACGGAAAAAAATAATAATAATAATAAACCGGCTATCTTTAACTGGGCTAATTGTGTGTGTTTGGTTTGCCATGCACAACTACTGTGATGAAGTGCTTCGTTGTTTTGTTCTTGTTTCATATACGTTGTTATTGTTAAACCTAGAAAGAAAGAAAAAAGGAAAGAAAATTGAGATATATAATATTAATACTTATACATATATTACACTATGTAGTATATTACTCTTCTCCCCCTCGGCTAAGAAATCTGTGCATCACATAGTTAACAAGGTTTTCGAGCCAGGAACACATGTTGGCTCCGTCTATGTTCTCAAGTAAACAAAAGCTCTCCCGTTTTTTATTCTTCAGCCTTAGTTAGATTCTCATCAGTTTCTTGGGACATGGGGCATTCAGTAACACCTTCGTGTTCTTGATCTTGTTGTTCAACCAAATCTCCACAATTCTTTAGAGAAATCATCGTGTCAGTACAACTAAAAACTTGCATAGAATACACTGGACCTTTGAGTAGTATATTCTTCGTGGAAATACGTGTTAGATCCACAAATAATATACCTTTAGTGTAATGATTCTCATGGTTGAAAAATATGCCATGCTCCCATTCACCACACTTAAAGAATATAAGCCTCCTTGGACGACTAGGAAGAAGATATTGTTCCATATCTATTTTGTAATTTAGCACCCATTCTTTGTTATCATAATTATTTTTCAATCCCCATATCTTCATATATTTATTTTCTGAAGAAGAAAAATCCACTAAGGCCAAAGATTCCCTAAAATTAAGCAAGTGAAGAAAATTCCAAAGACCCGGCTTTTTTTCTAAGGCAACGGGATGAGGAGTCCAATAGAACTCCTCTTTCTTGAAGTTGAAAGAAAGTATACGTACAGACGAGGAAAGTAAGTCCTTTTTGTCTCCATTAACCAACCAATGCATATCTCCATGTGCAGATGCCGACTTGGGGGTTAGATAGCAGGGAGGAACTAAGGGTAACTCCCGCCATGAGTTTGTCCCCAGTACAAGCACTTCGGTCGTCAGTTGGCTCTTTTTGTACTTTTCATGGTAGGAAACACGAACAATCTTGTAGGTGTTGGTTATATTATCAATCCCATGCCATAAGAATCTTGTCGGGAGAGATTGTTGGCTGAAGCTTGAAGTACGTAGCTCGTTGCTGGGAGCTTTAGAACTTCTCCCTTTAAAGGATTCAGCAACAAGCATGGGTTTCCATTCTTATAATCATCACCATGGCCAATAAAGCCAAGCAAGTTGCAGAAAACAAAATTGTGCGTATACACAAGCTGTCTGCATCCAAAATTGGAAACAATTGCTTGTTTGCTCTTTGTCAATAAGTTGTTGCCATCGTATTTCAATAGGTGCATCGTATGACCAGGAAAGGGAGACTTAGTGTGAAGAACTAGTTGAGGAAGTTCAATGGTGGTAGTAAGAAAACGACGTTGGATGTGCAAGGTGGCAAAAGAGGGGTTGACAACCGTCTTTAACAAGGCCTTGGATACACATTTGATGCAACAAATCGAATTTACGGGCAGTCTCAAAAGAATGCCGATAAGAATTTCCGCAGGTAGGGCGTCTGACATCAAGTTCAACTCTGGCTTCTTCTGCTTCTTGTTCTCGTTGTTGCAGTAGTTGTGCCTCATTCTCTTCATTCTCTTCAACAAAGTATGTGAATGTTATCTCCCCACATAAAAATTTAAGAGTATGTGAAGTGTTGGAGTTTAATTGTAGGGAACGGATGATGTTATGATTTATGTCCTCAATTGCTCATTAGGCCCTCCAATTTATAGAGGAATACAAGTCGTGAAATAGATATGTTGGAGGATTTTAATTCAATGTCCTAAACCCTATGCGGTTAGGAATTAACATTCATGCATATTTCTGATTACTTGTCCTAATTAAGCTAGGTTTTGATCGATCCCCAACTTAGCATAGCCTTTCCGTATCCTAATTGCGTAGGTGTTTGTGATTAATTGTTAGTTTGTATTTGGCAATAAAAAGTAGTCTTGTCTTATGAGGTATGGATTTTTTTAATAAAATAATATTTTATGCCTTGAACGAGCCTATTATTAATTAATATAACATTTAATTTGGGTCCATATCCAACTTCTATATGGTCTTTAGATGGGTTATTTGTTGAGTGTTGAGGAATTAGGGTCCAGCTAATATACAAGAAGAAAGGCCCAAACTGGAGGCTAAAGCCCAACAGGCGAAAACAAGGTTAACAAAAGCTGGAGATAAAATAATTATATATCATTTACATATCATTGTGCTGTCATGTCAAGGTGACATTCCATTCCAGATAAATTTAATGGCATTGGCTTGGGCAACAACAAGAGCTGCTGCTATCAACATTCTTAATAATGCAGTACTTTTAGTACCACAAGAAACGTTCTTTTTATATCTGTTTTTGTCAAAACACACAACAAACATCAGTGACCAATATAAATCAAAGCCGGCAGCTTACACGATTTAGTCATATGGCCTTGTTTTGATCAACTATAGCTAACAGTCCACAATTGCTAGCAGGATTGGTTTGGACTCTAATACTTCCATACAGACAGCGCTCCTGGAAATGTATGCTAAATGCTTGGCAGTGTTTCGAAAGAGTACGTCAAACTGAAAATAATTTAGTGGCATGGAATACTATGATAACAGCTTATGCCTCCCATGGACGTGGATCAGAAGCTGTAACCACTTTTGAGGACATGATGAGAGCCGGGGCTCAACCTGATAACTTAACATTCACAGGATTGTTATCTGGATGCAGCCATTCGGGTCTCGTTGATGTTGGCCTAAAATATTACATGAAGACAGTACACTCTGTCGAACCCAGAGTTGACCATTATGCTTGTGTTGTTGATCTATTTGGTCATGCAGGGCGCGTGGTGGAAGCAATAGATCTTGTGAGTAAAATGCCAATGCAAGCAGGGCCAAGCATTTGGGGTGCATTGTTATCGGCTTGTCGAAAGCACCACAATTTGGAAATTGCCGAAATTGCAGCTAGAAAGCTATTCATCTTGGAACCAGACAACAGTGGCAACTATGTCCTGCTATCAAATATATATGCTGACGCTGGCATGTGGAAGGTGGTGGACAATTTGAGAGCGCTTTTAAAATCTCAAGGCATGAAGAAGAATCTTGGATGCAGTTGAATAGAGGTCAAAGGGAAAGCCCATCTGTTCCTTGGTGGAGATACATCTCACCCTCAAGCAAAGGAAATTTATGAGTTGCTTTTGGAGGAGTTACCGAATAAGATTAAGGCAGCCGGTTATGTACCTGACACTAGCTTTGTTCTGCATGATGTTAGTGAGGAGGAGAGAGTTACAACCCACAGTGAAAAGCTTGCCATTGCCTTTGGACTTTTCAATACTAGTCCTGGAGTAGTTCTTTGTGTGACGAAGAACGTTCGAATCTGTGGAGATTGTCACACGGCCACCAAGTTAATATCTAGAATCTACGGACGTGAGGGAATTGTAAGAGACTTGAATCGGTTCCATCATTTTAGAGATGGTTGCCGTTCCTGTGGAGATTATTGGTGATTAAAAGGAGCTTAGTTTCACATTAATCAAATCTTTGATATGTTTGCAAGGCCACTGTTGTCATCGGCCGTATTCAGTTGAATATTTCAGATTCTCAGGCAAACTTCCTGCTTCAACCGTGTTGCTAAAGGAAGAACCAAAACAGAAAAGGCTCCAAGGCTATGAAAAATGCAAGACAACTGCAAGTTGAGGTTTTTTGCTTCACAAGTGGAATGCATTCACAAACCTCTAAGAAGCTCACACAAAGCATGGTTTGATTGGCAGATTGAAAAGCTTCCCCTCAATGCTTGTTTCCAAGGAGATGGTGCTCATTTCTCAGACATCCTCGGATGTATATAATTTAGAATTATGGTCGGGGTATGGGTGCAAAGGAAGTCTGGGACCATTTGTTAGATAGGGATTGTGTATAAGTTTTGGTGCCATTTCTGTGGGATTCTTGCTGATACCTGAGGGTGTTCTGTTGTAAGATTGTACTGTTTTGATGGATGTTCTTTTGTACCATTTAATTGTAATTTGCTTTGATATTAATAAATTTCGTTTTTCATCAACAAAAACTTAACATTTACCATAATAGCAGACCATTGAAGCACAAGTAATGCTGGACTATGAATGAATACAGAACTGAAGAAAAACACCAAAGACTCAATTAAGGATGCAAAATACCACTTTTTGTGTGTACATCGAAGCCATTTTCTGTATTTATGCAGTTCCTGTACATTTTTTGTAATTTACAGAGATTTATGGATAGTCACACAGGGCCTCTGTTTATATTGTTTATACAACCAGTACCTGTAATGTGTATTTTTCGAAATACCCTAAGCAAACTCTTAACACCTTCTGAGTAAGCTAAATTCAACTTAGAAACAACCAGGACTGTTTCTGAACCCATAGTTGCTAAAATTGTAATGGAAGTGATGACAATTTCTTTAGAAAAGCCCTCTGAAGAGCATAGGCCGCCGAACTGTCGTTACACACCAATTCTTGTGCTGTTGTTTTCTAACATTTTCATTGAGAGCAGCAATTACCACTGCAAGGCATCTGGTCTTCTTGTTTCTGCTTCAAAATTTGTCTCTTCACATCTACAGATCCACTTTCCAGTAAACTTGGCACCTCCAGCATCTGTTCAAACATTAGGATTGAAGCATAATCAGATGAAAGCCTTGAAGCATGCCACATTGAAGTAAGAGTTAGAAAATTAGTCATTATTCTGACAATTGAAATTCAACTTATATAATTAAGGTTCTAAATCCATTCTCAGGGATATCTATGACTACCGGTTTTCTCTTCTAAATAGGTCATAAGAAGCTATTAATACATGTTGCAGACAGAATGTATACCTTCAATGTGAGATCTCTGAAACATTGTTGAACATTTTCTCTAGATTTAGCACTACATTCAAGAAACAGACATTTATGCTCCTGTGCAAGAGCCATTCCCTCTTCTCTACTTACAGCCCTCTCATTTTCCTGGAAAGTGTTAAACAACATAGGAATGAGATATCCCCAGCATCTTTGAAGAACATTAAAACTCAGAATACATTAAAATAAAGGAAGTATGTAACGTTTAAGATACCCTGTCAACTTTATTCCCAACTAGAATTTTGATACACTCAGGATTAGTGGAGTACGTCTCTACTTCCTTTGCCCAGATATTCGACAAATTTGTAAAGGTTTCTCGCCGTGTCACGTCATACACTAAAATTGAAATCAAACGAAAAATCAGTCAGATTTTGTCCACCACAAATCAGCTCTATTGCTAGAGAAAAAATTATTCTAAACTAAGCCCATGAACAGAAACAAAAGAGTAATACTTTTTCGGAAGAGTTATTTTCGTGAATGCAATGACATACCAAGAATAATTCCATGTGCACCTCTGTAGTAAGAACTTATAACTGTTCCAAACCTCTCCTGTCCAGCTGCAAAAGGAAAAAAAGAAGCTTAAAAGCTATGTAAAATCAACAATTCAGCATTCAGTGAAAAAACCAATGAGGGCAATTAATGAATACCTGTGTCCCATATTGTAAGCTTCAATCTCTTCCCACCAACTAAAAGCTGTTTGATCTTGAAATCCACACCTTGAAATGGTTGTTAAAGCATATCAGCACTAAAACTAACTATTTCAGAAAATTACAAGAAAAGTACAAAGTTTTACAATTTTCCTTGAATTGCACATTAAGGTAGGCAGAATAATTTCCTATGCTCTTAACTTAGTCACCAATTAGTCTACCTATATATATGAACACCCCAAATCTAGTCACAGATTTTGCATATTGCATCATGAAAAATACAAGAAAACCTTTGTAATCTCTTCCCTCCCTCACCCCTCAGAACAAAAAATTACAAGAAAAGTAGACAAATCAAAACTAATCTATTAAAACTATATAAAAAAAAGCATGCCATTGCCACCAATATAAAGAAACCAACATGTACTTAATTTGCAACAGAAAGATACAGAACATCAGCACTTCCCAGGACTTAACCATGAAATGAAAATCTTGGGAGAGATAAAAAAAAAGGGCATTCAAAGAAAATAAGAGAAGAAGAAATACCAATGGTGGGAGACAGGTCTTGTACAAAGTTGGAGATGAAGCTGAGCAGAAGACTGCTCTTTCCAACACCACAATCACCAGCCAACAAAATCTTGAAAGAGTAATCATAATTGTTGCTTCCTGCTTTTGGTGAAGAACCCTTCATTCTTGATGCTCAATTAATTACACTCACCAAAAAAAATAAAACAGAAAATATAAAAGCCTGTC